TCACAGCGAGAAGACTTGTCTCGCCCCCTGGCGGCTGAGATGTGCAACTGGCACCAAGAGAAGAAAACACTCGTGCCATCCCCACTAACGTGCTCATTGTTTTACTCCCTTTTATTCCCACCGCGCGAGAGCCATGTGATCATTCATCGAACTCCACCGCAGCGGAGGAGACCTGGAAACCCACTCACATTATGAGACATCTCCTTTACCAGTGGCAAAATATAGTAGTAGGTTTTTACCCTTTAAACTGGTACAAAACTGACACCTTTATACAAGGCATCATGTTTGCAATAACCACAACACAAGTAGTCAAAATGCAAACAAAAAGAAACTCTGATAATGATAATAATATGCACTGTCCTTGAAGTTGATTGGTCCACACCCGAGACAGCTTTCCTTAGAGCCTAGTCTCCATTGTTTCTTTTTGTTTGCATTTTGACTACTTGTGTTGTGGTTATTGCAAACATCATGCCTTGTATAAAGGTGTCAGTTTTGTACCAGTTTAAAGGGTAAACACCTACTACCCACTCACATGTTGACCCGTGGCCAGCAAGGTTCACACCGATTAGAACTGGCAACAAAAATTAAAGGTTTAAAACAGATGGCTCGGAAAGTTCACGTCCCTATGGTTCAGTCAAAATTTGTTCATTTGGTGCTGCTGATGATGGTGACGACGATGCTTCCGTCGCTAAAAGCTGCCGCTGATGATGATCGTTGTGTTGTTGCCGACGCTTTTGCTGAAAAGGCAACAGCTGATTCAATCTGCTAATTATACGGAAACAGATAGCGGAGAAGACTCTCACGATCTCAATGATGACGACGGTGCCGCTCTTGCTAATGCTCCTCTGAGTCTCGTGCTCCTGCTGCATCTCGTTGGGGGGGGGTTGGGGGGGGGTTGGTGCATTTCACCCCCGTCATGGTGGAGGTTGGCAGATCGCACAGACATTGCGCCGATGTTTCCGTTGAGATGTGACCACGAGACGGCACAGCGCAGCAAGTGGGTTGTTTTATTTCGATTTAAAGCTTATTTCGTGACTGCAGGGGTTCATCTTCTTGGTTCTTTCGGTAAAGTCACGTAGAAGGAAAATAATAAAAATAATAAAACATAATAAAGCAGCCGTCCTCAGGTGGAGAACAGGTCTGTTCTCCACCTGAGGACGGCTGCTTGCGTTGTGGCCGAAACGTCGTGAGAATTATTTTATTATGTTTTATTATTTTCCTTCTACGTGACTTTACCGAACGAACCAGTCAACATCGGCTCAGTGGGAAGGGGAGGCGGACCCACGCTCCCTCTGCATTAGCAGGAAGAGTGCCACATTCTTTTGCAATGTAGGCCAAACAGAGTCGTTCTTTTTATACCGGAGGGGGGGTGGGAATCCGATGAGCTATGAAGCTCTTTATGTTGGAGGGGCAGATGTCCAGTAAAAAAACCCGGGGCGTTATTTCACAATTTCTCCGGAGCAATCATCAAAGCTGGTGCAGGATTCCGCGATGAGGTTCAACACGATATCCACGTCACCGGGACCCGTACACACACGAGGCGAATTAACCCGCCCGTCCCGGTTACATCCGGGACAGGTGGGAACTCTGTCGACGGAGGCCTTCGCCCAGTAGTAGATATATCGTATTCTTAGGGTTTTTTCGGTAAAGTCACGTAACAAAAAAAAAATTAAACTAATAAAAGTAAAATCATTTTAATTTTACATTTTTTTTACCTACGTGACTTTATCGAAAAAACCTAAGAATATGAATCCTTGCGGTCACGAAAGCTTCAAATCTAGAAATGGATAGATCGTGGCTGCTGTTAATGACGATTCGTCTCCCTGCTTGAAGGAGGAGCAGCGGCGAAAGCGTTGATCTCCATAGGCGCTCCTGAGCCAGCGGTGGGTGGGAAATCCACGTGCCTATGACAGGGCCCAGTCCATCCATCCTTTAACAAGACCGTCATTTCATAATCAACGTTTTTGGGTTTAGATCGCGTTATTTATAAATGTGTCGTAACCCTTCACCACCCGACACGGCCAATCAGTAAAAAAGTGTCACGTTGACAAAAGACAAATAGTTCACTGCTTTAGCCTCACCATTCTGGCGAATTGCCCGATGATGCTGGATGCAGTTACCAGCGAAACGTCGTACTACTCAAATTGCAAATGTTGTGGTTTCACGCTTCAACACACCGGTGGGCTAAAGTAGTGAACTATTTGTCTTTTGTCAACGTGACACTTTTTTACTGATTGGCCGTGTCGGGTGGTGGAGGGTTACGACACATTTATAAATAATAACGCGATCTAAACCCAAAAACGTTCATTATTAATAATATTGGTCGCGAAAGCCTGCTACGTGTTAAAAAGACCGTGATTTGTATGCTAACAAAAAAAACACATCACCCACGGGGTCCTAACAGACTGTTGGGGACAAGTGGCCACTAGCGGACACCGATGAAGCGCACGCCACGAGGTTGATTCTGAGACAAAAGGCACCACCGCGGAAGAGGGGGGGGGGGCGTTAGGCGTTATGGTTCGGCAGGCTTGGGACTGGACTAAACAATGACGGCTTATGTCTCGCTAACCCCCCCCCCACACACCGATTGTATTTTCTGAGCCGCCGTTTGACAGTTCAAATGAAAAATAATTACACGGCAAATAATTACAGATTGCACGTGGCTCCTGGGACGATTCACGGCTCATCGCACGCGCGCGTGTCGCCCCCCGCTGCCACTACCCCCCCCCCCCCCCGGACGTCCACGTGGTCGATTGGGAAGCGTTCGGAGCGATCCCGGGATCCTTCTCCCTCGAGAATCGGCTTAATCCCACCGCACTCGTAATCGCGTAATTGCTATTTTTTTTGTTCTTCGTTTCATTGCAATTATAATAAAGTTTGTTTTTCGGGTCCAAGGAAAAAAACACACGAGTTGGCATCGCCGGTGCATTGCCGGCCGTGTAAACACGCGACTTCCCGTGGAGCCCACGAACCAGGCTCGGGGGGAGATCATCTGGAACAGCGAGCTCAAATGCCCGAGATGTTAACTACCTCGCCTGGTCTACAGGAGATCGTGGGTTCAATCCCGACCCTGATGCCTGCTGCTGCTGTATATTTGGGAGTTTGCGTGTCTCTCTCTCCCCGTGGTCGCGTGGATTTTTCTCCGGGTCCTCCGGGTTTTCCCTCCACATTTATAATCAACGTCACGCGTTTGGAGTATTTGACCGCTATAAATGTCCATGTGATAAGCCACTTTTGTTGAACTATCAATTGTGATCGCCAGGTCGTTTCTAAACAAACAAAAAATTAACCCGTAAAAACAAAGTTTTTCACTATAAATCCTTTATATGCGTGGCATCGGTTTTATTTTATTATTCATTTCTGTTTTTCTTGAGTAAGAGTTTCATTTTTATCACATTGGTATTTTAAATTAAATATGAATTTTTTTGTTTCCTAAAAAGTGTAAAATATTGGAATTTTTTTCACGAAAATAAATTGTTACGCACAACGAGTCTGTGTGCAAAATGTCAGCTCGATTGGATCACGGGAAGTGGGTTAAAAAACGACTGAAAGATTTGCACGGTCGTAAGCAAGCAAGCGAACTTAATATAAAGGATAAAAAAAAGAGCTATACAGCGCAGTGGGCCTTACCTGGTAAAATAAAACCTTTAATAGTTCAATCATCTCTCTGGGAAATCGATAAAATCGGTACCACCTCGCGGGGAAGTCAACGTCGTCCCTTGGATGGACTCGGCCCCCACTGGAGGAATGTGGAATTTCCACCACTGCCTTTGCAGGGCTGTCGACGGGGGGTGTCTACCCAGCTGTATAATAATAATAATAACCACACACCACGTGTGTGTTTGTTGTCTCAACTGTTGTAAACCACCGAGTTCAATTAGAATTTTGTTGACCAGGTTGAGAACTCTGGAGAGCGAGGATAATTAGCAAGTGACCCTGTGGCATTCATCCGCTGCCAGTAGAGGGGTGACGATTGCTGCTGCGTGTCGAATTCCAATTGAGTAGTTTGCTGTGTGATTTTTGTGGAATACCGTAATACAGTAAAACCTTGGATTGCGAGCATAATTCGTTCTGGAAACGTGTTTTTAATCCAAAGCACTCGTATATCAGTTGTGATCACGTGACGCTCGGCAGACAAAGCGTATACACGCGCTACTCGCATTGCAAGACCTCGCTCGTTTATCAAATTAATATTTATTTTAAAAATTTTGCTCGTCTTGCAAAACACTCGCAGATCAAGTTACTCGCAATCCAAGGTTTTGCTGTGTAATAACCTCTACGGAGACTTGGGTTGCCTCCGAAACGTCGTGATTTTTATTAATTTTATTTTCATTTTTTTTCTACGTGACTTTACCGAAAGAACTAAGAGTATATTATTTCAAAGGGCTGTCCGTAAAAAATAAAACTACACTCACGAGGGATAGTGTGGCAATTCTGGACCCGTACGTGAGCGCATGACGACCTCCTCTTGTGAATGCCGTCACGGGATCATTAACGACCATCGTGAAGTGAAGCAGGCGGTGCTGAGGAGGTCAGCGCTGCCATCCTGGACACGTGTGGAAAAGAGCTTCAGAGCTCGTGATAATTGTTTTTTTACCCTTCTCTCTGGCAACAAAACTGACACCTTTTTACAAGGAGTCATGTTTGCATAGACCGCAATACCTGTAGTCATAATACAAACAAAAGACATAACTCTGATAATGTGCACTGTCCTTGAAGTTGATTGGTCCACACCCAAGACAGCTTTCCTTAGAGCCTAGTCTCACATGGTGTTGGACCAGATGACGCCAAAAGGCGCACAACTCAAAGACAATGCACCATCAGAGTATGGCAAATGAGGTTCCCATAGAGCTTCAGAGCTCATCGGATTCCTCCGGTCTGATTATGGTCATTATACACCGGCGGTATTAACCAGGGCGGCCGCTGGATTCGAACCGCGAACACCCTCTGCAAAAACAGCAAGCGGCGAACGCGGCGAACGCGTAGGCCGTAAACATCTCGCAGCTCTCGCACCAAATTGAGTGCATTTATTTCAATGTCATGGTACAAAGCGGTAGTTATAGAGGGTCCCCCCCGCCCCCCACCTCACCCATTAGAAGTTAATCTCAGGACAACACCACCGCATTGGCGCACCGCCCTCTAGCGCGTTTCGATTGTCAAAAGCAAAACCGGCGTGGTTTTCATCTAGTAGGGGTTTTTTTGGGGGGGGGGGGGGGTTAGATCGCGTAAACATCAACGTGTCGTTAAACCCGCCACCACCGGCCGAAACGTCGTACTCGGAATTGTAAAATGTCGCCGTGGGTTTAACTCTCCAGCACACAAACGGCCAGTGCTGAACTAGTAACGAATTTGCTCCGTTTTGTTTCACGTGACAAACCTTGATTTGATTGGCTGTTTCGGGTGGTGGAGGGTCTAACGACACATTCATATTTTACGTGATCTAACCCACGCGTGGGAGGGCGTGTTCACGTGCGTTCACGTGCGTTCACGTGTTCACACGTGTTCACGCATGCTCACGTGTGTTCACGCGTGTTCACGTGTGGGTGGGCGTGTTCACGCGTGGGTGGGCGTGTTCACGCGCGTTCACGTGTGTTCACGCGGCGTTCACGCGGCGTTGATGCTGCGCGAGTGCTGGTGAACGGCGTCCACGAAGGCTCCCAGGTGCTCGGGCTCCATGTCCGGGTAGATGCCGTGGCCCAGGTTGGCGATGTAGCGACGCGTTCCAAACGCGCGCACCATCTCCCCCGCCAGCTCGCTCAGCCGCTCCTGCACCACGGCGGCGACGGGGGAGAGGGAGGGAGCATGGGGTTAGGGCGTGCGAAGCACGGTGTGACGTCGTGGTTAGGGTGTGACGTAGGGGTGTGACGTCGTGGTTAGGGTGTGACGTCGTGGTAGTGGTGTGTGATGTCATGGTAGTGGTGTGACGTCGTAGTTAGGGTGTGACGTAGGGGTTTGACGATGTGGTAGTGGTGTGATGTCGTGGTTAGGGTGTGACGCTGTGGTAGGGGTGTGACGCTGTGGTAGTGGTGTGACGTCATGGTAGGGGTGTGACGCTGTGGTAGGGGTGTGACGCTGTGGTAGTGGTGTGACGTCATGGTAGGGGTGTGACGTTATGGTAGGGGTATGACGCTGTGGTAGTGGTGTGACACTGTGGTAGTAGTATGACGTCATGGTAGGGGTGTGACGTTGTGGTAGGGGTGTGACGTGGTAGTGGTGTGACATCATGGTAGGGGTGTGATGCTGTGGTAGTGGTGTGACGTGGTAGTGGTGTGACATCATGGTTGTGTTTTGACGTCATGGTCGTGGTGTGACGTCATGGTAGGGGTGTGAAGTCATGGTAGTGGTGTGACATCATGGTAGTGGTGTGATGCTGTGGTCGGGTGTGACGCTGTGATCGGGGTGTGACACTATGGTAGCGGTGTGACGTCATGGTAGTGGTGTGACGTCATGGTAGTGGTGTGACGTGGTAGGGGTGTGACGTGGTAGCGGTGTGATGCTGTGGTAGTGGTGTGACATCATGGTAGTGGTGTGACGTCATGGTAGCGGTGTGACGCTATGGTAGTGGTGTGCTTGTGACTGTTATCGAAAGGAAGTTTCAAAGCCGCCAGGTGAATGCTGCCAGTGTCACTGGCTCGGGAGTGGAACCTTGGGCGAGTAGAGTGCGCAGGGATCCAGATTTCCCTGCAACGTCACCTCGTCTCCCGTCTGCTGCCTGCAGGACCAAATCGACAATACCACAGCGCCGTCGTTAGCCACTGCTGGATGAATCGCCTCCCCAACGGCGTCGCCACCACTCACGGTCCGGCAACGCCACGGCCTACGCAGCGCCACCTGCAACGCGATCCTCAACGCGTCGCTCCGTCTCCACGGTGGACGTGCTCTGGGACGTTAAGTCTCGACCACGGGGCATCATCCCATCCCTTCTAACGATGTGTCCTGCCCCAGCCCACTGACTTCTTAATCAATAATTTTAATGTTTATGAGAGCGGTATCAATGATGACGATGATGATGATGATGAAGGCGGCGATGATTATGATGATGAATTGACCCACACAGAGACCCCACAGATTCACACAGAGACCCATAGGCTCAGGCAGAGACCCATAGACTCACACAAATACCCACAGACTCACACAGAGACCCATAGACTCACACAGAGACCCATAGACTCACACAGAGACCCATAGACTCACACAGAGACCCATAGACTCACACAGAGACCCACAGTCTCACGCAGAGACCCATATGCTCAGGCAGAGACCCATAGACTCACGCAGAGATCCATAGACTCACGCAGAGCCCTGTAGTCTCACATAGAGACCCATAGATTCACACAGAGACCTATAGATAGACAGAATCCTACAGATCTGCCCAACCAGTCTCCCACCATCTGCTCTCCAATGCCCGTCTGTCTCTTGTTGATCAACGATGGTGATGATGGTAGCGGTGACGACGATGCCGCTATTGTATTGTCCTCACCGTGCCAGCTTGGGGCTGACGGTCCAGTCCAGGCCGACCACCTCGTAGCCGGAGTTGGCGAGATCCTTGAGCGCGAAGTGTCCGTCCTTCGCAAACACGATCTGCGAGATGAAGGGACCGGGAAGGGGCATGCAAATAGCGGTGAGTCATAATTTGGGGGGGGGGGGGGTGGGGGGCAATGGATTTAGAGTTCACGTCGTCGCACCCCCCTCCACTGCCCCCCCCTCCGTCGCCCCCCCCCCACTCCCGAGGAAGTTAATGATCTAACCAGCAATGACCAAATTCAGCTGGCGAGCTCCAACTCATGAGTGGGTGGGTGAGTGGGTACGTGAGTGGGTGAGTGCATGCGTGGGTACGTGAGCGGGTGAGTGAGTGGGTGGGTGCGTGGGTGCGTGAGTGGGTACGTGAGCGGGTGAGTGAGCGGGTGAATGAGCGGGTGGGTGGGTGCGTGGGTGGGTAGGTAAGTGTGTGTGTGAGTGGGTGGGTGTGTTGTTTTGACCTGCAGTGTGGTGCTGGTTGAACAGTGTGCAGGATGAGACGAGACAGTCAGTGTCTGGCAGAGACCTCAACACAGGTGGAGGAATCAACGAATGACATTCACGGGAACAGTGACCATGAAAGTCACGGTACAGAGCGATAAGGAGGCAACTGACTGCCAGTGAGTGATTGACTGCAGTACATTAAAAACAATTACGTTATGAATCAGATGTAAATTAGTCAGTAAGTTCAATCCTCTTTAGAACGAAACGATGATGACGAGTATGACAACGATGGCGTCGTTACCATGGGGACGAGCTCGAGGCCCGCGTCACGCAGGCCCTGCTTGACGCGCGTGGCGATCTCCCGCAGGTACGGCAGCGAAAACTCGGAGAACTGAGCCGGGCCCAGGCAGCCGGCGTGAGACTCAAACACCTGCAGAGCCTGCGCACAGACAGACAAAGATCCCCCCCACCCGACCGTGTAGCCTTCACAGACCGTTGGGGCAAGTGCTGTTAGCGAGTAGGACGTATGAAGGCCGGCACGTCGCACGAGAGAGTGGTGTAGTCAGTACCACGCCAGCCGCCTCCCCAGTGTTGATGTTCACACAACGCACCGGGCCCCTGATGATGATTGTTTAGGGGCGCTTGATAAATTGAAATTATTGTTATACTTATTCTTAGGTTTTTTCGGTAAAGTCACGTAGGTAAAAAATTTAAATTAATAAAAGTAAAATAAAAATAAAATAAAAATCACGACGTTTCGGAGGCAACACAAGCTTCCGTCTTCAGGTGGAACCGTCACAGCACGCTTGCTGTATCAAGTAAATGAGAGATTCCAAGAGATACTACCCCGTATATATACTGGTTGAGGGGGGGAGATGGGCCAGGACAGGCCCCCTTTTTATTATTATGGTAAGGTGCGGCTTGAGACTACGGCAAGTCTACATAACATTGTTATACTCATCGCTGGGTGCGTAGAATCGTGCGCTAGCCACTACACTACCGCTCCCCGCTCCCCACACTAGCGCTACTCTTACACTGATAAGAGTAACCATGACGACTGATTCAATGAGGACTATTTTGTGAGTTCACTCACAATGCCACGAGTTCACAATCTCGGCTTGACAGTCGACCCAAGAGCCGATAGAATGGGTGCCGCTTTGTGGCAAGTCGACAGCGACGGTCCTGTGACGCGACCAGTCCCTGGCCATGGGAACGTGGAATTTCTGACACTCGATGAGGGCCGCCGCATTTGAACGTGAAGGAGCGGTGTTTGACGCTCGTCCGAGCGGGCAGACGCTCGGATTGTTTTAAACCGTGAGGATCATCCTAAGAGCGACAATTATCAGCTAACGAAGAAGCTTTATTGTTAACGGGCCGATGACAGATTAATGGCGGGCACAGAATAAACGGTGTCTTCGTTAGGAGCGCCCGTAATTACCTTGCGACGCCTCCTCCTCCCTCCTCCCCCCCCTCTCACCACCTTGCCTCCCTCTCTCGCCCAAAGTATTCGCCAAAAGGGCCAATTTATTTTAAGGATTTCCCGAAGCGTTCCAGTTATAGCGTTCAGCTGACGGAAGGAAACACCGTTTTTGCGGGAAACACGATGAACATGGTGATGGCGGATAATGCTGCTGTGGATCCAACGACGATTGGGGCGGATGACCGAGTGTGAAAAGGTTACAGTCAAAGTGACCTCCTGCTCAAATGACCATTGAGGGAGGTGGAAATTCCATATTCCTATGGCAATGGTGAAGTCTATCCATAGGAGCACCACTTACTTTCATACAGAGTGGTACCTATTTAATCGACACTGGAGGGATGATGGGCCGAGTCAAGGAGCCTCCACGTGCTGAATTCACATTCAGGTCATGAAGAAGCTGCCAGCACGCAGAGCGAAACGTCGGACGTCGTGCCAAACAGCAGATGGTTCGCGACCCGCACACACGGCTAAGGAGCCATCTGTAGTAATCGCATCCCAGATCCCAAATTCTACGGGCGGGCCAAAACACTCTCTCACCCTCGAGAGCAGTGGTTCTTCTTAAAACCTGGGGAGCACGCACCCCCCGGGAGTGTGAGATGCCCTTTCTGGGGGTCCGGGACATGGCCAGATTTTTTTAGAAGGTAAATCATCGAAACACAAATTGCGCACGGGCACGTAAGTAACTACTTTGTTTCGTCAAAGACTATGTATTTAACATTACATATTTTTTTTACGATTGAGAACCAAAGGGTCGCAAGGCTGCAGTAACGTTTAAGAACCACTGCTCTAGCGGGCATCTAGCCTACTCTCTCACAATTGGAGTGCCGCTTGAAAACCTGCACGGTAGAAACACGGTCGGTGACAAATCGTCACAAACAGTGCCTTTTACCCCCCTTTTCAATATTTATTTTACGTCAATCTTCCCGGAGCGGGGGGGGGCTTTGCACATGTCTGTGGAGTGTATGTGTGTATGTCTGTATGTTGAACTTCTTTTGCACCGTACGTAGCCAACCGTGCTAATTGGAGGTGCGGTGGTGGTGGCGCAGTGCTGCGAACCCGGCAATCGGAGTTCAATTCCCGCTCACGGCCACCAACACCGATGACAATTGTCTGAACTGCTCCTGGGCCTTCCCTAGGTCGATTCGGCATCAAATGAGTGCCTGGTGCAATGTGTAAACATCACCACTTGGAAGACAAAGGCGGCCGGGCGTGGTGCCGAACACACCACCCCGTCGTGTGCCGTGCCGGCCTTTATCGGTGCGCGCTAACAGCACTTGCCCCAACTGTCCGTTATGGCTATACGGGGGATCCACGTCTTTGGTGGTGGTGGTGGTAACGATGGTGATGTGGTGAGGTGGGGGGTTGGGGGGGTTAGGGATGCGGGGGTAGGGGGGGCAGCACCTGTGCCCCGGCGGCCACCTGGCCCACCAGGTACTCGACGATGACGCAGGTGAGCGACGAGAGGAGGCGGTGGCTCGCCTCCGGGTGCTGGTAGAGCCACCGCTTAGCTCGCGACTGCGTGGGGGAGCCTCCGCCCTCGATCATGTACGTCATCAGCGTCCACTGCGAAAAGGGGAAGACTTCACTCAACATTTTGGGGGATCCTTGAGCCTTGGGCCCAAAAATGGTTATCGGTACGATTCAGGGTGGCAATTTCTACCGATGATTTTCCGAATTTTTTTATCTCTGGATCATAAAAACACGTGATGGCAAGGTCACCGTGGTAGCATTGAGAGAGTTCTCATTAAAGATGGGTACCGCAAGAGAGGGAATATTTTTCGATTTAAAGCTTTCGTGACTGCAGGGATTCATATTCTTGGTTCTTTCGGTAAAGTCACGTAGAAGGGAAACAATAAAATAATAAAACTATAACAATTCTCACGACTGTTTCGATTGCAACACAAGCAATCATCATCAGGTATGAAAACTACAGCAAGAAAATTGAAAAAAAGTGCCGGTTTTTTTCTAATTTTCTTGCTGAGGTTTTCACACCTGATGATGATTGCTTGTGTTGCAATCGAAACGTCGTGAGAATTTTGTTTTGTTTTATTTTTATTATTCCCTTCTACTTGACTTTACAGAGGGAATATTGTTTAGGAAAATAAAACTAATGTGATCTGACACGTATGTAGTACGTACGTATGTGTGCTGAACTTCTTTCGCACCGTACATAGCGAAGCGTGCTAATCGAAGTTGCGGGATATGAAAATAAATAGCGAGTGCGTCTGTCGCAGTGGTTTCCTGCTCAGGTGAGCAATGAAGCGTTTGTGCTCATCTCCCGTTTACAGCCCTGCCAGGGCCAGGAGTGGAAATTCCACGTTCCTAGAGTCAGGGCGAGTCCCTCCATAGGACAACCATTCCCGACTTCCACACAAAACTGGTACTAGTTTTATCGGGCCCAGCGGCATGATGGACCGAGTCAACTCCACAACCGCTATTTGAACTCTTGCCTCCGAGTCACCTTGACGGATATACAACGTACCCGTACGTGCGCGCGTTTATCGTGTACCCGTGCATCCCACACGCGTTGCGCACAGCATGGGAAACACGCACACGCGTTGCGCACAGCATGGGAAACACGCACACGCGTTGCGCACAGCAACGTGTGTGCGTGTTTCCCATGCTGTGCGTCGGAGGTGTAATTTACACATTTCCGTGCCCGGTTCCCCGTATTCTTCCTAACCAACAACTATATACGGGGATAACGGTGAGGGTGTTGACTGTGTCTGATTGGACACTGAAGTCGAGACCCTGCGACGAGAAGGGGGGGGGGGACGGGGGGGCGGAAGTGGATGGCGGGGGGGGGGCGTTACGCACGGGGGCCCCGGAGAAGCCGATGAGGGGCACGCGGCCCTCCAGGCGGTGCCGCGTGAGCGTGATCGCGCGGAACACGTAGCCCAGGTGCTGCTGCACGTCCACGTGCTCGCGGAGACGCGACAGCTCGGCGGGGTCGGCCAGCGGCTGCGGGAAGGTGGGGCCCTTCCCCGGGGTCATCACCACCTCCATGCCCATCGCCTGGCACACGCGCCGACAGCGCCCTCGTCACACACGCAGCGCTCGCCACAGACGAACCGCGATACAACTCGCTGGACACTCCGGTCATCCTCGCAGCAGCAGCATCAGCAGCAGCAGCGGCTTTTGACGAGCCGGCGAACAAAGACAGTGGTAACCGCATCGCGAGCTTTGAGGTGCGCTTCTGCGGCCGTCTGGAATGCTCTTCCTTCCGATACTAGGAAGCCACCGGAGCTATGCACTTTTAAATATAGATTGAAAACGAATTTCTTTACAATTGCGTTGTGTTTGGTTTGTTGTCTTTCCCCCGCACCTCCGATTAGCACGGTTGGCCACGTACGGTGCGAAAGAAGTTTAAAGACATAGAATGCGCAATACGCAGCAGCCTGTAACACCTGTTGTTGTTTTGTTTAACGCTAGGCAAGCACTCATCAAAAGCGCTACCCAGGCTACAACCAGCTTAGCTGCCCAGATCCGATTGGGTTTTGGCGACTCGGATCGTAGGCGTGGGGCGGCGAGATCGCCGTCGTCATTCGCGCGACCTCTGACCTGCGGCACCACCAAGATGTCGGAGAAGATGATGGCGGCGTCGAGCGCAAATCTCTGGATCGGCTGCGGAAACAAAGAATAAAAATGAACGGAACCAAAGCGCGCGAGGTCTCCTTCATCGTAACCGGCAAACGCGCTCTATCTCCTGCTGGATGGGGTCTTCCCTAGACCGCTGCCACCATCTCCGGCCCCCACCCCATGTTTGTCGACCCATACGGTTTACCCCGTATTCTTGTACAGGGAAATTGAGTTTTCAGGTCTATACGGCGTGCAGCCGTTTCAATACGGGCTAATTAAAACGTTTTCTATTTGTGTATCTCCCTTGTGATGGGACTTTGCAGGATGAACGTTGAGATTTATAAGGGGCACGGGGTAACCAATAAGGTCTGAATTGGTCTGTGATAAGGTGGGGCACTGGATAAGGGGTTGACAGGGATGCCACCCCCACCGTGGTCTCGTGCTGCAACGGTTCGTCGAGCGCACGTGCTACTCGCCAATACACGCGTGGAATCGTGCACCGAGGAGGCGATTATTCCCGGTCCGTAGAGGACTCGTGAAGGCCGCTACCACAGCGGTGTGATGGCGGGCAGCGCACTGCACCTGCAATCCAGGGTACGCCGCTTTCGATTCCATCTCCTGGCGCGGCTGGTTGAAACGATGGCGGGCGTTTTTGTAATCTATCTTGCCTCCCACTCACCAACTCGCCACCACTGTCCACACAGCTGTACAAATGTGTACACCACGGTGGGGTACAGTGTGGGTTACTCACACCTCTTTTTATTTTAGCTCCTTGTCCTTCCCCTGTACCTCCGATTAACACAGTTGGCTACGTACGGCGCGAAAGAAGTTCAACAACAACCGCCATTTTCCACTAAGTGGCAGTAACGTCACCACGACGCTTGTGCCAGGCCATGTGCACCTTGAGGCCAAGTGAAGTGTCGAATGCCCGCTGGTAGGAGGTCACGGGGCAGACCCAGGTGCCACGGGTCGACTGACATGCGTCTGGCCAGCATGGGAATAGAAGTCCAAAATTACGCTCTCGAGGGGCTCTGTCTTGAGGTGGCTATAGTTTGAGGCCCTTCCGGTAGCAGTGGCATGAGCAAGCAATTGCAGGGCTGCGCCTTTACCATTCACTTACACTCAAATGCACTGAACGCGAACGTAAACACCTGCATCCACCTTCTACACGTGCCACGAGGACGAACGGATTTTGATTTATTCGTAGCGGCCGTGTGATCGAGCGAGACGGGCCAAAACTTCTCCCTCTTGTCTTCTTGGTTCTTTCGGTAAAGTCACGTAGAATTGAAATAATAAAATAATAAAAATAAAACATAATAAAATAATTCTTACGACGTTTCGGCCACAACGCAAGCAGCCGTCCTCAGGTGAAGAACAGGTCTGTCGAGAAGACAGCATCTGAATGACATACCCCAGGCTTGGAGCGTCTGTGTCATTCAGACTCTGTCTTCTCGACAGACCTGTTCTTCACCTGAGGACGGCTGCTTGCGTTGTGGCCGAAACGTCGTGAGAATTATTTTATTATGTTTTATTTTTAGTATTTTATTACTTCCATTCTATGTGACTTTACCGAAAGAACCAAGAAGATGAATCCCTGCAGTCACGAAAGCTTTCAATCGAAATTTTCTCCCTCTTGTGTTTGTTGTTGTTGTTGTTGTTTGTTGTTGTTAACAACGCATTCATCGCGTTGCCCCGCCGCCGTTGCCGATGTGTTCACCTGCAGAGTCAGCTTGCAGCAGAGCTCGGGGTTCCGACACGTCTCGAAGAAGTCTTGCCCGGCCCGCGTCTCGCGGAATTCTGGAAGAGGCAAGCGGCAACATTAATGGGTTGAATATTAACCATTATATTAATGATCATATTGCGCAGATTCTAAACTGAAACAATACCATTTTGTATTTCACCTTAAACGCCACTGAGCTATGTAGCTCTTTTTCAGAAGTGACCTGGCTATCACAAATGATAGATCAACGAAGCGGCTTATCGTGTGGAAATCTATAGCGACCAAATACTCTAAACGCGTGTTTATAAACGTGGAGGGAAAAACTGGAGGACCAGGAGAAAAAATACACGTGACCACGGCGAGAATATGGAAATTCCAATTATACAGGCGTCAGGGTCAGGATCGAACCCATGACTTCGTGGATACCAGGCGAGGTGGTTAACATATTGCCACCGTTGCACCCAGATGTCCTTCCGCGGCCGTCAGGAACGCTCTTCTGATATCAGGAAGCCACTGGAGCGACACACTTTTAAATCATCATCTAGAATGAAAACTCATTTATTGAGAACTGCTCTTTGTGTTTAGTTTGTTGTCCTTCCCCCGCACCTCCAATTAGCGCGGTTGGCTATGTACAGTATGAAAGAATGTCAACATACATACGAAAATGTAGAGACACAGAATGGAATTATGCTTTGATATACTTTTATTTATGGTACTCCACAGTAACGAATAATGAGACTCCCCACTCTGTGCGGGTCGTGGGGGCTGGTTGACCATACTTCACCGCCCTGGTCAGTGCGGGTTGGTAAAGCTGGGGAAGCATAGGCGCCGGAGGGTAGTGCAGTACAATAAATGATATTGCCGCTCTTGCCGCCTTCCGCTGACACCGTAGCCCCGCGGGATCCTGGGGCACCTGTTTTATGCATTTGTAGTCGCCCATCCAAGCATTGTGCAGCCTCAACCCTGCTCAGCGTTGGACAGCTGCTGAGATCGGGCGCGTCGCGGGTGATTTGATCACAGGCAAGTGACCAATTAGGCAGTGGTGTCGGATAGACAAAGGATCAACTCGGATACAGACTATTTATTTATTTATTACTGGAGGAGGAATCCGATGAGCTATGAAGCTCTTTTGCACGGATGTCCAGTAGGGGCACGGGGTCAGAACGTCAAAAAAAGAAAAACAATACAGAACACAAAAGGAGTGCAAAGTCTAGGAAAGGTAACCAAATGACTTAAAACTGATATGGTGAGGCAGATTCTGTGTTAATGCCTCGGAGTGGAAATAAGATTTCAATAAACCCACAGGAACAGTACGAATTACATAAGCCCAAGATGTACAGCCAAGATGTACAGCTAGATGATGTAACCGCCTGCTTGACTGCAAAGTGCGCTCCTGTGAATGCACAGGCGGGACGTATTCAACGGACAGTTGCACGGCCTCAGATGTACAGGTTTGAGATGCGTTCAAGACGTGGGTAATCATTGGTAGAATGGTGAAGTGGATTTTTTTTTTTACTTGGGCAGAGTGTGCCGACCACTTTAGGGTCTCTCGGATGCCACGGTGGCAAAATGTTAACTACCTCGTGCGGAGAGACGGATGGTGGATGAAGGAGGCGAATTTGTCCGCTTATCTCGAACGCTCGGGTTCTGCTCTCAACGACGGCGCCGGTGGTTGATGATTTGAGACGGGACGGATAGCGACGGTGGTCTGTGTACTGCGTGGGTGCCACGGTGGCTAGGAGATGTCCACTACCTCGCCTGGTATACAGCAGGTCGTGGGTTCGATCCAGACCCTGACGCCTGCTGTGTATTTGGAGTTTGCGTGTCTCTCTCTCATCATCATCATCACGGTGGCTAGGAGATGTTAACTACCTCGACTGGTCTACAGCAGGTCGGGGGTTCGATCTTGACCCTGACGCCTGCTGCTGTATATTTGGAGTTTGCGTGTCTCTCTCCCCGTGGTCGCGTGGATTTTTCTCCAGGTCCTCAAGTTTTTCCCTCCATGTTTTAGAAACATACGTTTAGAGTATTTGGCTGCTATACATTTCCACGTGCGGTGCCACTCGGTTGAGCTATCATTTGTGGCCAGGTCGCTTCTGAAAACAAGCTATAGAGCTCAGTAGGCCCTACCTGGTTAAATAGTGACTTAAAGCTTTCGTGACTGCAGGAATTCATATTCTTTGGGTCTTTCGGTAAAGTCATGTAGATTCCAAAAAAAATAACAAAACACTAAAAACTATGAGACGTTTCGATCGCAACACAAGCAGCCGTCTTTTCCTGAAGACGACCGCTTGTGTTGCGTTCGAAACGTCGTAGTTTTTTGTTTGTTATTTTCTTTCAACCTAACTACGTGACTTTACCGAAAGACCCAATTAATATGGTTAAATAGTTTTAAATAGTGTGTCCACCTCTCTCGATAAGAGACAGAAACGTTCTTGAGATACCGCGGTGGTGTCGGACGTACGCGGGATAACCGCGCCATTTCCTCCTCGCTGGGATGGTGGTGATGACACATTCAGTTCTGTGTGTGTGTGTCAATCCATCGACTTCTTCTATAAATGAGCCACTCTTTCCTAAATCGTAGATAATTAGCATCACAATGACAACCCGTGTTTATTAGAGATGGTTTTGAAATTATGATCGTGATGTTGGCTAATTGGTGGAACTGCCCTAATTTAAAATGACAGTATTCATAATGATAAAATAAAATTATTGCGAAAGGCATTGGTGTGTTTTTTTTGAAGACTCAACCAGACAGGAATTTCATAACAAGGGTGACTGATTGTCTGCTAAATTTAATAGAAAATAATTATCGGTGTTCTGTCAAGCCACAGTCGACCATACTTCACCAAGGCTGGTCGGCGCAGGTTGGTGAAGGGCTAGAGGAAGGACCAGGACCGATTCAGTGAACACCACTCGCTGCTCATGTTGGCCAGGAATCGAACTCAGGTCACCGGATGGATAGCGCAGTGCGCTAACCAATGTGGCAGTCGCTCCGCAGCTTGTCTTTGAGATTTGTCATTATAAAACTCAGAAGATATTCGGTGAAAAATTTAAGCCCCTGTATAAATGTGGTCAAAGCGTGTATACGTGGGTATGTACTCCATTTTTCCCAGCGAACCCGGAAAATATTTCCACGCCCGGCACAACGCATCGAGCGTACCTGTCGCTACGGCTGTGGCTGCGAGTTCCGTGCAACCTATTCCACAGTCTAGCAGCGAGCCGGAGAAAACATATTTATTGAGAAATGAAGCATTGAACGCACCTGGAAGGTACCTCCCCGCTTGCCGCATGCACCACACGGGCACGAAGTCCGTCTGCTCTCCACGCGCCGCCTTCAGGAACGCGTCATTCTTCAGTTCCGGGAACTTGGCCGGTCTGCCGGGGAAACGCGACAACCGCAGCGGGATTTACCATTTGCGCTTCTCGTTTACACGGCGGCGAGATGTTAGCTACCTCGTCTGGCATACAGGAGGTCGTGGGTTCGATCCCGACTCTGACAACGCCTGTATATTTGGAGTTTGCGTGTCTCTCTCCCCGTGATCACGTGGATTTGTTCTCCGGGTTCTCCCTCCACATTTAGAATCAACACGCGTTTAGAGTATTTGGCTGACATACACTTCCAAGTGATAAGCCACTTCGTTGAGCTATCATTTGTGATCGCCAGGTCACTTCTGAAAAAAATCCACATAGCTCAGTGGGCCTTACCTGGTAAAATATATTTTTTATAGTTTAGTTTAGAAACGCGTCTTCCGCGGGCAAGTCACAGAGGCAGAAGCAGACAGAGCGCAAATAGGTGGCTAAATTATCACGAAAATTGTCACACGAACCTAAGGGGTAAAGACACAGCCCTGCAATTACTTGTTCCAGCCAGTTGGTCAAGGGCTTCTACTATAGGGAGCTCTAGAGAGCGCCCCTCTGCAGCAGTGATTCTAAAAGTGTGGACCCCACACCACCAGGTGGTCCATGACGGTCCTCCAGGTGGTCCGCGGGGCTGTGATGCAAACGCAGGTTGACCCGGACAATAATAACAACGTTTATACACCTTTTGTTTTTGATATTCATTAATATTTTACTGATATTTCATTTAAAAAAATGGATTTAGGTAAACTACCGTCATTAAACTGCCCTAACCCTAAAATTGAAATGACAACTTCATCGGTAAACAAAACCGTATAGCTGCGTAAAAAATAAATCCGGTCAAATTAATAATATTTCATTACTGGTATTTATAGAGATAAGTGAATGCATTTTGTCACCAGGGGTGAGGGGGCTCGGGGGTCCGTAGAAATGTTTGCATCGGCTGAGTGCTACGCGGGCCAAACAAGTTTGAGAAACACCGCCCTAGATGGTAATTTTCGACTCCTATTCCACACCGGCCAAACTTTTTGTAAAAGGTGGGCAGTTCCCACACTTGACTCCACCACATGCACCTTCTTCTTGGTTTTTTCGGTAAAGTCACGTAGAATGGAAATAATAAAATAATAAAAAGAAAACATTATAAAACAATATTTTAATTATTTTTTTCCATTCTACGTGACTTTACCGAAAGAACCAAGAAGATGAATCCCTGCAGTCACGAAAGCTTTAAATCGAAATTTAACCGCCACATGCACCTTGCTGATTGACTCTGGTCTCCCCATTTATACTGCTGGGTGGACAGAGGCGGAGGGGGGGGGTGATTAAATAAAATATCTGCCTATTGTTTCAAATGCCACGCCGGGAGATTGAACCACCGACCTCTGGATTGGAAGTCACACCAGTGTGCTAACCACTACAACACAGCAGCATCCCCTTGCAGGGATTATTATTACCCATAATGGACTTACAAGTTGATGTTATGCTAGTTCCCGCTTCATATTCTCATTATAAAGCTATCACTCATTCCCCATGCATTAATTCCATTCGTCATCATTTACTGTCATCAATTTCACTTTTACCGAATTCACGCACCATCACAGATTATTTCCCCCATTGCTTCCTCTCATCTAATTCATTCACCTCATCTCCACCGTTACATTCACACACGTTGTGCCGTTGCTAATGCTTTGTAAAACGCCGCGGTTAAGGCGTTATAAAATTCCGTTAAGATGCTCTACGAATTAATAAATACTATTCTTGGTACTTTCGGTAAAGTCACGTAGAAGGGAAAAAAAAAATAAGTATTCTATTTTATTTTATAAAAAAGAAGTATTCTATTTTATTTTATTATTTTACTTCTTTTTTATAAAATAAAATAGAATACTTCTTTTTTATTATTTCCCTTCTACGTGACTTTACCGAAAGAACCAATAATATGAATCCCTGCAGTAACAAAAGCTTTCAATCGAAATTTAATAAGTACTGTTTATTTGACTAATGGTTTTAGAAAGGTAAATAGATGGATCCCTAAAATTATTTGCGACTCGCAATGTGAATCAGGGCAGCGATGGCGCAGTGAAGATGGCCAGGGGCTTCGGCGGAAAGTCTTGGTTGCTGTAGCTGAGGAGTTGCGTGGAGGAGAGTAGAGTGAGATTGAGAGAGATAGGAGAGCATGTGGATGGAAGCAGAGAGAGAGAGAGATGAGCGAAAGCTAGTAGAGTGCACAAGAGAGGAGTAGAGCGCAATGAGAGGGGACACGTAAGAGCGTGTGAAGAGGGGGAGTGAGACGAGACGGAAGAGGTCGGCAGGAGTTGGTGGAGGATCTTCAAGACGGTCAGTGCAAACGATGGTGTACAATGGAAGTTTTCTGGTTCAATTAACGCAACTTGCAGGCATGCCCTCCCGTGTATCTCATCTTGCAGCCAGGAGCAGGGCCGCTTGTGCTGTCTTGCCCAAACAAGTCGAGTCTTGCTACATGCGATCGACCGTGTTGTGTAACTGTCAGTTGGTGAATATGTTGCACAAGCAGATTTTTTTTTTTATAATATGGGAAAAAAAACCTTATCTCTATAGGACTGAGGCCGGGGAGCCTCTGTGCATCGTATGATGAATCGTGGAAGGTTTTTTGTTTGTTAATAATGGCTAGTTTAATTATGTGATGTTACTGAACACATCTAGAAGGCAAAGATCCCCCGTATAGCTTCTTACATGCTCTTGGGACAAGTGCTGGTAGCGAGCACCTATTAAGGCCGCCACAGCATGCAAGGCGTTGGGGTGACCAGCACCATGCCCGGACGCCTTTGTCTCCCCAGTGCTGATGTTTACACACTGCCCCAGGTCCTCATTTAATGCCGTGTCTACCGGTTCAGATATTCGTCACCGATGTTGGCTGCGAGTGGGAATTTAATTTTGGTTGCCAGGTTCGTAGCGCAGTGTGCGCTAACCACAGCGCCACCGCTCCCCACTGAACACATTCACACACTTGCAAACGTGCACATCCTAAGTCTGTAACGTATGCAAAGTTACATAAATTCAAAATCTGTTTTATGTTTTTACAAAAAAAATCAACATTGTGTATTTTGCAAACACAAAGGGACACTTTATTTTGCCGATTTTATATATTCAGAATGTTCTTACATTTTCACAAAATAACATGAACTAGTTAAAACATTTTTTTTTTTAGTGTGAATAGTTTGCCAATGTTTGATGCGATAACAGATTAGTTGAAGCTGACATTGAAAAAATAAAATCGGCATCACAATGTCCACCACCACCACCGTCATTATTATTCCCGTACGGGACATATGCTCTGTGATGACAAACCTCGAGATATTAAACGGGACTTGCACTTTGAATCTTACAAGATGATTTAATTGGGTTTAAAGCTTTCGTGACTGCAGGGATTCATCTTCTTGGTTCTTTCGGTAAAGTCACGTAGAAGGAAGACGGCTGCTTGCGTTGTGGCCGAAACGTCGTGAGAATTATTTTATTATGTTTTATTTTTATTATTTTATTATTTTCCTTCTACGTGACTTTACCGAAAGAACCAAGAAGATGATTTAATTACTTACAGACTGGATTATTCAAATCAATACCCCACCTCTCCGTTCAAAGACACGTTTAGCCTCAACGGGTTCGTGTCAATGTTAGAGCCCTCGAATGTGTGCTGGTTAGGGTGGGGGGAGGGGGTGTTATTTGACCATACTTCACCACGCTGGTCACTGCAGGTTGGTAAAGGCGTGGGGGCAGATATTGTAGTGATTGTGCCGCACTAGGTAGAGACCTGTCCAGCGCGTGGCCCCCGTAGCCTATAGCACCTTGGTATGCATTGGGGGTCACCTATCCCAGCACCATCCAGGGTCAACTTTTAAGCTGTCGGGGTGATCGGGGTGGGGGGCAATTCACAGACGCACCCTACTATATCGATTTAAATACACATTTTTACAAGTCCGTAACTTTACTCTTTGGTTCTTTCGGTAAAGTCACGTAGGTATAAAATAAAATAATTTAAAATAACTTATTTTATTTTTTACCGAAAGAACCAAAGAAAGCTTCAAATCTAGATTAAGACCGTAACTGGTAACACAAATCAACAAAAATAGGGAATTGCCTTTTGTTTGACAAAGCTGTTTAGAGCAAATCATTATTAACAACAACAAATAACACGCACAAGCGTGTCAGTGTCACCGTGACACCGGCGAGACGCCGGCCGCCTACACGGCGAGGTCAGCCGGGTAGGAGCATCTAGCCGAGACCGGTGTGTACTCCAATCGCTAGGCCTCAACGTGTCGTAATAGCACGCGGCTTAATTCTCACTTTTATTTCTCCACAAATGCAACGACCATTATACATTTACGAGTCATCCTTAAGTTAAACACTCGAGGCACCTGCAAATTGCCGTAAAAAAGCAGCGTCATGATGACTCTGCACGTAGCTTGCACCATCACACGTGTTTACATTAACACGTTGCGTCCAGCTCCCAACGCGAACACAGTGAAACACTGCGCTGTGTGCAAGTTCAAGCGGCCTGACGCTTAACATCATTTACACTCACACACGCCCAAGTATGTAATTGTGCACTATGTGCGTGCGTTAGTGCGGACACATCTATAAGGAGTGTGCACGTGCAGTCACGGCGGACACGGTCAAGAGACACGTCCACCGCGGAGACGGAGCGAGCGACTTGAACAATGAGCCAAGCAGCAACAACAACAGCAGCAGCTGTTACATCGAGGGGGATCGTCCCTTTAATCCAGCAGTGGATAGAGCACGGAGGGAGCGCTACTCACAGGACGTTGTTGGACTCCATGCCGCTCGTCTGCTGCGATTGCGACATCGCAGGGGAGGGCGTGACGCTTGTTTGACTCTGACTCTCACGTCGTTCTCTCACTCTCTATACAATCTCATCTCTCTTCTCTCCCTCTTATCATTCTCTCACTCTCTATACAATCTCTCTCATCTCATCATTCTCTCACGTCGCTCTCTCTCTAACTCATCACTCTACAATATCTCTCTCATCTCTCTCATCTGTCTTTTTTATGTGCATTGGTACATTTATTTCTGGAGAACAAAAAAGTCAGTTACAAAATGTCACAAAATCTGGTAGAGTAAACAAGATTTGCTTTTTGCGATGTCAACTTTAGTGTGCTAATTTATGTTAATTTATTCACAAAGTGGACGTCAAAAGCAGCAGGAAAATGTTTTTGATTGACAAATATGTCACACACTCAACATGACAAGTTCCGATACTGTCGAAAAAAGTTCGCATTGAGCACACACAAACACCACACGACTCTGTTAACAGCTCTTGGGCATCTCACATTCGTATGATGTCCCACACTTCGTTATACTTGGGACCTGGACTGCTGCAAATTCATCGAATGTGTGAAAATAACTGTTCAGCAAAGCTATGGTTAAGATGAGAATCACTCGACCCACTGACACTGACATGCAGACGAGATGCATTTATGATGAACACAGCCAAAAACAATTTCTGAAGAAAACACGGACTCGTCTGGATTGAAAAGTCCTTTACAAAGACAACGCTTCGAAAGTTTGTTTTCAAACGAGTCCCTATACATTACAGGTAACAACACTGCCTATGACAAACACTGAGAATCTTACATACAGCAGCCAAAATGCTATGACTTTGGGGAACATGAAACCCATTCACACATCTTACAACTGCAATGGAAGCTCATCACGTTATATATATAAAAAAAAACGTATGAGAAATACTTTGTTTCATCCAATGCCCTGAATATGGCCAAGACCTTTGGTCTAATAGCTCAAGTTGTATTTCCCTTGGACTGCTTCTACCAAAGACCCACCTACTCTGCAATGACCCCCCCGACGTTTCCCAACATCATCTGAACACTTCAGCCACTGGACTCCTTGAGAAAGAAGTGCATCTTGTCTCTCTCTCTCTCTCATCTCTCCCTCTCATCATTCTCTCACGACGCTCTCTCTCTCTCTCACATCGCTTTTTGTTACGATCAGAGGAAACAAGAAGATGCTCGGTGTAGTCGGCACTTTGCTTCGTTGATCATTTCGTTTTTTTTTTGCTTTGCTTTATGTAAACCCCCCTTTTTAAATGAAAGATTTCACGCTCTGCTCTCCTTACCCCTTCCCTCTCTATCTACCACCTCTCTCCCTACTCCATGTCGTTCTCTCTCTCGTGCTCTCTCGCTCTTTTTTTTTAAACTACGACAAGTGCTGCATCTGCACGCAGCCCTTCTAGCAGTCCTACGGCCTCCGACGGGTAGCTCATCTCTGCATGCAGAGCTCTCCGTCATCTGCCACCGAGGACACGGCCTCCTCCATCGCCCACTGCTCCTTGAAGGCTGGCACGGCGTGTGGCAGCCACGCATGGCGGAACTCCGGCCTACACACCCTGGCTCCGACCAGAGCGCGGAAGATGCCCAGGCTGCTGGCCGGACGTTTCCCCTCCAAGGCCACCTTCCTCGCCCTGTATATGGCGAGCTTGGCGTAGCCGACGAGCACGTTGACCAGCCCCTGTAGATGTTGGGGTCCGTCGCCCCTCGGGTATCCAAAGATGAGGACCGTCGCTCTCTCTCCAATCTCTCTCACGTCTCTCCCTCTCATCATTCTCTCACGTCGCTCTCTCTATCTCTGCGGTGCCAGGGAGGATCTGCCCGACCAGTACTTACACTGCCAGCTGCTCAAACCAATGTTCCGCCTTTTGGGGGACATCTTCATGAAACTGGGGGTAACCTTCTACAACATCAGCTTCGTATATGGGGTGGTGCCTTACCTGGCTAACAAGCGCCATGACCTCGCCAACTTCGCCTGTGCTCAGGCGAAGATGGCGGTGTACAGAACGAGGACAATAATGCTGGAAGGCAGAGGTGTGGACTCGAGTCATGTGACTTGGACTCGAGTCAGACTCGAGTCATGAATTTGATGACTTCAGACTCGACTTGGACTTGCATAACAATGACTTTGTCCCACCTCTGAGGTGTGGACTCGAGTCATGTGACTTGGACTCGAGTCAGACTCGAGTCATGAATTTGATGACTTCAGACTCGACTTGGACTTGCATAACAATGACTTTGTCCCACCTCTGCTGGAAGGTGACACTGACGGCTGCTCTGTGCTCCCAGTGTTCAGGGGCCTGCTCAAGGCGCGGCTCTGGCTGGAGCACGCGTACCACACACATGTCGGTGATGTGCACGTCTTCTTCGAACGCTGGGGAGCCGGAAAAGCCCCTCTCTGTACCATCGTGGACGGCACCCTCGTGTTCACCTTCTGAAGCGCTCGCTCGTCACCGTGGCGTGCGCGATGATCACCACCACCACCACGTGGCTTTTCTTTTGTGTTGTGCGCGGTGCTTTTAGCGCCACAACGCGTGGATTTGTAGCGTTTTATTTTCATTTGTTTGCTGGTGACTTTGTGTATTTCACATCGAAATCGCCTCCAGTGCTTTTGCTGCTGTCGGCAATAAAAGTTGTTTAAAAGTCAAAAAGTCTCATCTCTCTCTCATCTCTCTCTCATATCTCATCTCTCCCATCTCTCTCATCTCTCTCATATCTCATCTCTCCCATCTCTCTCATCTCTCTCATCTCTCTCTCATATCTCTCTGTGTCGTTTCTCTCTCATTTAGTCTCTCTTATTTCCTCTCTCTCCCATCTCTCTCTCTAATATCCCATCATCTCTCTCATTCATTAGCCATGCTCCGTGTACTCATTATCGGTTATGAGCGTAGAGGCTTGCAGTGGTGGGGTGGGTGGGGAGAGAGTCGGTGGCGCAATGGTTAACTCACTCGTCGAACAAGAAGAGTTCCATTTGTGCAAAAATAAGAAATAGATTTTTACCCTTTCTGGCCAATAACACCAATATTCTTTGTTTTTTTCGGTAAAGTCACGTCGGTAAAAAAAAGTACAATAAAAAAAATTAAACAGCTAAATTAAATCACGACGTTTCAGGGAGTGGGGATGGGTGGGTAGGGGCTGGTCACCCCGTGGTGCCCTTATAAAACTCAACGTTTAACCTACTCACGCCGGCTTGTGCCCGCACTCACAGTCGGGCATATTTGCGGAATACACCACGCCGCCGTTGACCCTGGCCATTGACCGAGCAACCCAACGTTCCTACCAGCTCCCTCCGCAGGAATGTGTTTTATACTGTGGTGTGTGGGGAGCGGTGGCGTAGTGGTCAACGCTGCACCACGGCCTACCAACAGCCAATGTGTACGATTATCTGAACCGGATCTGGGGCTTCCTTAGGTCGACTCAGCCTCAAATGAGTACCTGGTGTGGTGTGTAAACATCGCTACTGGGGAGACAAAGGCGGCCGGGCGTGGTGCTGGCCACCCACCCGCTCGTGTGCCGTGCCGGCCTTCATAGGTGCTGCTCGCTAACAGCACTTGCCCCTACAGTCTGTTAAGGCTACACGGGGGATCTTTGCTTTGTGTCCGTATAAAAATGTAAAGGTTCAGCCCTGCAATTTCTTGCTCGTGCCACTGGAGAGGTCGTAGAGGATTCTAAATGTGATGTGAATAAGGGATATTGCCCGAAACGTCACCTATCTTATCCCCGTCCTGGTAGCTTAATAAGTAACTTAGTGTGTTGATGTTTTTATGTGTGTGTGTGTTATTACTTAGCAAGCTAGAAATCCAGGCTTGTAAGTTGGGAGTGGACTCGGAACGATGGTATCTTGATAAGTAATTTAGTGCACGAGGCCACCCCCCCCCCTAATTAATCATCATGAGCTGAACAGTGAGAATTATTTTATTTTATTATGTTTTATTTTTATTATTTTATTACTTCCCTTCTACGTGACTTTACCGAAAGAACCAAGAAGAAGAAGAACAATTTTTTTAATTGAATATTTTATATTTACTGCAATATATACACCCGTACTCGGACGGGCAAGAAAAGCTAGTTGACTAATGACTGTCTAGTTAGTAGTCTAGTCCAGGTATGTACTGTCAATTGACTGTCTAGTTATCTAGTATATCATTAATTCTAGATTTGAAGCTTTCGTGACTGCAAGTATTCATATTCTTAGGTTTTTCGGTAAGGTCACGTAGGTAAAAAGACGGAAGCTTGTGTTGCCTCCGAAACGTCGTGATTTTTATTTTATTTTTATTAATTTGGATTTTTTTTACCTACGTGACTTTACGGAAAAAACCTAAGAATATGTCTAGTATATGTCGTAATATTAAAATTAGTTCTCACAACACTTCGTACGAATCGAAACCCCGTACTGAACATTACCGATTCGACTCCAGCACCGCGAACGTAAGAATCGTTATTATTTGTTAAATATCGTTAATCGAAAAAAAGAATCGATTCCCTCAGTACACCCCCCCCCCTCCCCACCAGGTTCCGAAAGCGACACCGGACCAAGATGGCGGGCGAATCGTCGAGGTCTTCACGGGGTTCGGCGTCTTCGTCGTCTTCCGCGGGCAGCGTGAACGCGTTCGCCAACGACGGCAGCTTCCTCGAGATGTTCAAGAAGAAGATGGAGGAGCAGGAGGCGAGGAGACTGGCGGGCGACGCCACCGCCGTCCAACGCGACGACTGCGTCGGCGGCGACGACGACGACGATGCGGCCTCCTCCACTAGGCCGCCGCCTCCGGCCCCCCCGCCTTGCCTGACGCCCGCCCCGGCTGAGGGCGAGGGCGCCCCGGTGAAACTAAATTCGGAGCCCGGCCCGGCCGCCGAAGAGAAGAAAAGGCAGATGTTCGGCCTTGTAAGGATGTGGCGGGTGGCGGAGAGTTAGACGCAAGAGGGCGCGGAGTTTAACGCGATCGAGCTCGTATGGCTCTTAGTGTTGTTGGTGATTTGATGGCCGGCTGTGTGAAATCCGCGTTAAGGGGTTCCCTTGAGTTGACATCCAGTGTAATGGAAACACTTAAGGGTTTTCTCCAATTAAGTTGCATTCCTGGGATTATTTAAGGGTTCTCCTTGCGTTTCCGTCAGTGTCAGTGCCATTTAAACGAAGACAAAACCCCTACGTATCCATT